CTTGATAAAATTTTGGCTCACATTGATTTGCGTGGTCTGGTTTCAAAAAATCAGTGTGGCTCTTATACTGATTGTCGTTTGTTGCAGCTCAGTTCAATGTGGTTGCTCTTCTACGCTATTCATCCGTGTCTAAGTATGAGTGTTTGATTGTGTATATATTGTGTAGGTTTATGTTTTCTTGCTAAATACTCTCTTGTCGTGGGTTGTTTCTCTCGGGTTGTAATAAAAATATGCTGTCTTGGTTGTTCGAAGTCGGGAGTTTGTGTCCATTTCTGATACTTTGAGCATAAATTATGTGCTTCTGTGGAACTGGATTTGTCTAGTTGTTTGAGATCGTGTGTTGTGCAGATCTTAGCCCATGTTTTGTTACTAGGCTTGAGAACATGAAGATAATGGGCCTGGAGAAGAGAAGTCTCTCGGTGGGTGGAAAATAACTAGTATTAAAATCCTAAATCGATTTCTTGTGTTTGCATATGTTTTGTGAATTGCTTGATTTCTCATTTTAATTGATCATCTATCGCTTTACTTTATTGCTAGTTATTTGCTTCCATAAAATCCCCAAAAACCAAATAATATGTTTACTTAGCTTAATTGGAATCATATAGGTTTGTAGTGCATTCATCACTTAGTCCTCAGTGAATCGACCCTTAAGTACTACAATTGTCTTAACTGTGCACTTGCAATTTTCTAGGGTTACAAATTTAAAACTCGCATATGCATCTTAAAACCCTGCACATCAAGTACTAGTTACTCAATGAGTCTAGGGTTCCCTTAAGCGTTCAATAATCAATTCGAACCAAATCCAAAATAACAATCACACGCAAGTTTGAATGAAAGTGTGATAAGTTTTGATAATTTCTCTTTAAGGCCTTCGGCTATGCCTATTCTCTTCACGTGAAACCAGAGCCATCTCTCAGGTCAAAACCACGAAGGCTAAGGCCTTAGAATCCTCACGTCCCGATGACCAAATCTTTATGCACCAGCACGGAACCCTTGCATCATCATGCAACACACGGCCCTAGGTTGTAATCCTGTATCTCCGTGTCTTCGTGGCTCAACCAAAATCTTTATTGGTTAAGTCACGGCCTCAAGGGAATATCATGTCATTCATTATAAGTTTTTCAGACTTAGTTACGTTTTAAGTTATATTTCATTCATGTTTTCATGCTTAAGTTATACTCAAGTAAGCATTTATGCAATACAAGCATTTCAACAAATATCTCAAACAACACGCAACGTGTACTCTACTCATCTAGTGCACGACAAGCATAACGAAAGACACACCTCTTTATCAGGGAGTGGCCGAAGTTTTTGCCTTAGTCTCGGCTGGAATCTAGACCGGACATAAACTTCTCACGGATTTCCTCTAAATTTTTCGGACTTAGCCAGAACTGATCCTACTGGTTTGTGATGGTCCAACCATCGGATCAAGAAACTTCCATTAGAATCAAGATCATAATAAAAAGGGACTGGACTTAAGTGAACATAAATTTAGGACGCTTACCCTAGGTTTTCAATGACTAATTGGTTGTGGACTAGAGCTCAGACTGATCAGACCATGGTGGGTTGATTCGGACTGAACGGTTTGGAACAAAGTGATCACGGGACTGAGTTAAAGATGCGACAAAAATTTGCGGTAAAATTATTATGGTCAACGGGTGACCTGCTTGGTAGGTCTGGTCGGACTATTTATAGCCGCGGATAAGCAAGTGAGCAGGCTGGTGAAGCAGCTGGGCACTTGGCCAAAGCTATTCCACTGCGAACTGCCCAGGTCGTGACACGTGGCAGTGAGATCTTTCTGACAAACGACAAGACATGGACACGACAAAGACACATCCTACTTGGACATTTCATCCGAGGGTAAGGTTAGTCACGAGGGCAGCTCTTGCTTGGCCTTTCTTTGACCAAGGGTAAGGCTCTTAATAGAGACACCACCAACTTGGACGTTTCTTCGACCATGGGTAAGGTCGTGACTCACCAACCAACTACACTAGCACGCATAATAGTCACCGAGCAACTAAGCACCCAGCTTAGTCACCGAGGTGCTTGGTAAGATTTTCGGCCTAAGGGTCTGTATTGGTATGGCCTTCCCGCGGTGTTTGCCTTGGCCAGCCTAGGCCAAGGTGCGGGTCATTACACCCCTTGTACGTAGTTGGTCAACAAACTCTCTTGAAAACATACATTATAACGTATGATGTATGTACTGTGTGGATCATGTTGGAAATAGACTTGGGCTTTTGATTGTTAAGACCCATTCGACAGCAAGAGTTAGAGACACTGGTTTGTGCCAAGAAGAATAGTTCTGGGCTCATGAGGAGGTTGTTGTATCTCCAAGATC